AGGCCAGGAGAAGAAAGGTATGCTTGTTTCGGTGAGAAGCCACAATAGTTGCCCTAGTTTTGTAGCGTGCCCCTTCCAAAAATACAGTGCCCCTTGTGGAAGAGAAAGTAAACAGATTGATGGATTGAACCAATAATCTAACGAATCATTAAACTTCTTCAGGTATAATGATTGATCCTGCGAGATTTATGGCCTTAATGTATAACTACTATGGAACTTGCTACTTTAATTCTCTCAAGATCCTAAATGCAGTCAAATTAAGCACAAGCCTGCCCTATTTATCGAAAGTAAGTCAGTGACCAATAGATCCGTTTAATTTCTAAATAAAAGAAGGGGCAGTTAATGATCAGATAAATCTGTTAGATCTGTCAAAGATCGATCAGACAAAGATGTTGAGGCGAAATTCCTGAGGATGCCACGACCACCTTCACATAGGTCTTTCCCGCACAGGTTCATTCCCTCCAGAATCGAGGCCATCTTGTACAGTTCTGGCAGTACCCGTCATTTTCGCTCTCGCATAATCAAAAATGCAATAAAATCTAGCCTAAGCCTTTGTCCAATAACCGACGAAAAAAGAACAAATATATTCATTTCTTCTGACGAATCCCTTCCCTTCACATGAACGAATATGCAAAAACTGCCAGGAATTCTATTCAATAGACTCAAATTGGAGCAGAAGATTGCAAAAGTTCTTTGAATTGTCGCTGATTTTCGATGCATTGGTACTCTTGTCAATGACAGATGAGCTGCTACAGAACCAAACATTTCTACTCCAGACATCTTTTTGAAACAAGGAATCATATGTCTCTAAAACGAGAAACTACACGCTGATGACTTTGGAGGGGAGGGGGAGCATTTGAAGAGCTTCCCTCGAAAGAGTGAGTTTACGTCATCCGAAGCTTCCGTTCAATTCCCAGGCGAAAGTCTTAATTTCCTTTGCGGTTATTCAAGTTTTGCACGGAGTCTCTCGAATATTCTACACCCCCCCCCCTCGCCTCCCGCAAGGTTTTAAGGTCAAAAAATACATTGATTAATATGCTTACGAAATACAAGGGCAATAACATATGGATATTAGGTCTCATAGCTGATCAAATAATAATGGTGTCTCTAGGAAAGACTCCGCGAAACCAATCATCGGCGCTGTTCGGCATGGGAGGGACATTCTGCACTTTCGCGGTTCCTTTTCTCCAGATCATGTTAGCTAAAAGTCAGTCACTTTGGTGATGAAATCTTTGAACTCCAGTGGAGTTGCAGAATGGAGCCAGTGAGCTTTTTAGGTCACCAGAGAGTTTACACGTCTACATTTGCCTCATCTATAGCTCTCATATATATCAGCAAATCCTCTGACAATGATAAACAAATTATAATTTAGTATGGGTGGTTAATTTTCAGCAGAGGTGCTGAGGCATCAAAAATCGACGAATTCGTCTAACCACAAGACTTGATTCTCGATGCCTTGACGTTTTTGTTGAAAAAATAGCTCAAAAATTGGAACCAGTTCATTACGGTCAGACACTGGCAGTCTCAGTAATTCTAACGAAAGCGTCAAGGCATCACAAATCGGTGAATCTATCGCACATTGCTATAGACTCATCGATTTTTGATGCCTTAACGCATTTGTCAAAATTACATTGTACTACTTGAACTAAAATCAAATATTTTGACACTCATGTGAAACCCATGTTTTGATGTTGTGACCCTTTTGCCAAAGATGAATTATCTCAATTCCTGGGTAAGTGGGGGGAAGGGGGGTGCATGATCACGAAATTTTCGCAAACATAAAAACAGCTTCCTTTTTCGTCAATTTTCGCATATCCTAGTCTTCCAGTTATTTTTGAAACATTTATTGTTCAAAATGTATCATTCGATAAGAGCAAATGGGAATCTGGCAAAAGAAAAGCCTGAAAAAAATTGCGCCTTATACCCCACAAAGTACGGTCAATGAATCAACTGGATAAGAAAAAGGCAATGTCAGGTAAAAAGAGAGATTTGAAACTTCATTTCAAGAAGCTCAAAAGATTCAAAAAACCCTGGAAGCTCTTCAGAACCCTTTCCGGCAATATTTTTCTTTGCAGCACCTTTTGTCAGGCTTGAAATACTCTTTCCACAGACGGTTGCATAATATGCAAAGTATTTCAAACTAACTCACAAGGACTCTCCACATCCCCCCTTCCAAATAGTGACAAAGCTACTCCTCCATTTCAATTTCCTTAGACTTCACTCTTTTATTCAATGAAAGAGTAAATTCGCAGCACTGAGTGAACTCACGCTAGTGCGTTTGATATACTTTCTAAAAAATCCGACTATAATAATATTAGTTTTTCAATCAACAAAGGAATTTAAAAAATTGCATGAAATAGAATCGGGTAAGCCAGAAGATGAATGTTTCTTCAAAGGACAAAAGACACTCAGAGCTGGCATTAAGCCACTCATTAGTTGGAAATAAAAAGGTCAGAGCGGTCAAAGAACGTCATGAAGACGATGATGGGCGCAGAGAAAAACAGGAAAGTTAGGCACCGTTAAAGGGAGGATTTTAAAAATATCGCAGCGAGAGCAGTACCTGAAAAAGCTTGAGCGTTGCGTTGCAGTACTTATTCGCCGTCCTCCTAGCGTTACCTGAGCGCTTTGGGCGAAAGGAAATATAGGTAACGTCGCTTTGGAGGCATTTTGGCGCTGAAAAGGAAAGTGTAGATATCGATCCAGTGCCCTGAATGTTTCAAGCATTTCGCTCAAAACGCTCGAAACACTAGATCGACACCTATAGATGCCTTTTCGCTTAGAACGCTTCAAAGATTTGGAACGCTCAAAACGCCGACAAAAAGTATGAACGCAGCCTTACTAAACAACTGAGAGCTTCTGCAGCATGGCTTGCAGTAAGCTTCATGTTTTTATTTCTTGGAACATGCGGATTAGAGCCCAAATGAATAGTAAAATCCTTATTCAGCCTCACTTTATAACAAAATCGATCTCTAAACTACCTCATAGCGTATCGCCCGTTTTCATGTTACCTATCCTGCCAAATGGATGAAGCTGTAACTGGCCATCAAGCAGGGTAGGGAACATGAAAACATGTGTCGATAAGCGTCAAGGACGTTGGGGAAGGCGATTCTACTGGTCGGGGGGGGGGTGAATAGAGAATACCGCCCGCAGAAGCTATGCGGCACCCAAAAACAGTGCTTATTTGAGCACTGGTGCCCACTTTCCAAGTAACCCGGACATGAAGAACTTCTTCTGAGAACGTTTTGCGCATAATATTTCTTTCCTTTTTCAATATGCTCGCGCCTTAGCCACCTTTCCTCAGCGATCTGGGTCTCCGGGATGGCCTGCTTACCCACTTACGGGAACTATGCCCATTGAATTTATAAAAAAGCGTTTGTAGCACTTGAAAGAAAATATTTCAGACCCCACACTCCCAACTGACTCTTGTTAGTATATATTTATATCATCACATGGCTTCGGAAAAGCACAGCAGCACAGCACAGGGTAAAATAAAAGTAATAATCATGTGAAAATCGTAACTGGAAAAAAAACAAGCATGCCACATACATTTACATCATTGAAAACGTCAGCGTCAAAATAAGCGATCCGAAAATCTGACATACCTCTCGGATCAGCTATCATCAGTTTCATCCCGATACGGAACTTGTTCTCCGGTGGTGTTTCTGGCTGATAGAAGCATTCAGGTGGAGCAGCTTCAGCTTTCTGTTCACGAAGATATGCATCCCAATCGAATGTTGAGGTCACCGGCGCCTAAAATGGATTAAATGAACCTAGTAACGAGTTCATGGGAGGCGAGTTGTTAGAGACGCTTCATTTTTTCATTATTTAGAACGGTAACGTAGTTAGTTGGATGAAGAAGAGACCACTCCGTAGCGCTTCTCTACACCTCACTTCTAATCAATGCTAAGACCTAAAGGAGACCATGTCTTGCGGCTGCTGTGTGTCATTACTTTGCGTTAGCGTGCGCCCAGGGGCGATTAGGAAAGTATAGATATTGATGTAGCGTACGCTAGCATAAGGCAGCAGGCGGTTCCGCTCGTCTACGTGACAAATAGAACTTTGGATGAGGGTGCTGGCGCGAAAGGTCAGACGCAGGCCTTTCCACACTTCTTTGTCTCATCAGTCTTGACTCTATGAAGAGAATTGGCGCCAAAAGGATTAGCCAGAGTAAATGGCAAATGTGTTTAGAGATAGTAGGAGTCCTAGGTGTTGTAGTGGACTTATCCTTGGCCGGCTATATTTAGCTAATCCTGCAATTTTGCCGTCATCATCCTGATGTGGAGTGCTGTCAGCGCCGGATAATCTATCTGCGTCTATCTGTTTACCACAGATGCTGGAAAAACCATTTCCGGCATATCGTCAGTCAGGATCTGCTTTCTGACAGAAGCAGCTACTGGAATGTAGCTTTGCAATCCATAAGAGAGGTACAAGAAGTCGAGCAGGAGCTCTCTGCGTCTCTCATTGAGACACCGCTTTGGAGCTACAATTTAGGGATGAAGACATATTCGCTAGGCCTTTTCACAATGTCAAGGGCGTCAACTTTGTGTTGCAGAGAGAAGTCATTTCTTGTCTCGGAAGGGTTTTCGGATTGCCGACTTATCAAGCTTCCACGCTAGGGCTACAGCATCGTGGGAGGATCCCATCAGGAGAGTAGTACTCGGACATTCGAGAGAACGGGAGGGGGGGGGGGGGACGCGGTGGTGCGGGTTTCGCGCCATCGCCATCGGCGTCAAGTGAAACTTTTCCAAGCCGCTCGACAATAGTTTTTGTGGGAAAGCTGGGAATTTTTACCAAACTTAGGAAAGGTAGAAGAAAGTTGGGACATTAAACTTGACCTTAAACTTAGCAAGAGTTTGGGGATAGCAAGGACGGGCGGCTGAGGTGGCTCTGACATAGCCATTATTCCCCTTCCTATCCTGCCATGCAACCCTGTTACCGCGCGCTTATATGGCCCCTCGCGACGGCACAATTTTGGCTAAAGATTTGGTTAAATGTTAGTAGGCTGGTGGAAGGAGTCTTACCGGACGAAGAACTTTGAGCGGCGGAAAAAAGAAGGGCGTTCAGCAGACACTTCCATAATGCGACAATGTACCCTGTCTGAGATAAGGCTACTCACTTCGCGACTCGAGAGATTCGACGTTTCTGGCAGAACTGGCGTTTTGAGCGAATGAGCGAAAAGTAAAGTACATGCAGGCATCGATCTCCCACTGTTTAGAGAGAATCGGCGTTTTACGCCAATAGGATAGTGTAGGTATCGATATGCGCCCAAAACGCCGACAAGCTCGAAGCGCAAGCTTGCCACCTACACTTCTCTCTTTCGCCGCATTGGTCGAAGCGCCCGACTCTCCGAAACGCCAATTCTCTCAAGTCACATAGTGTTGGCTTACATACTTAAGCTGTTATAGATACAGTGACTCTCCGTGGGAGCTTTTTTATGGTTGTTACCGTACCAATGTCGGAGCGAAATACTGGCGTCAGTCTCGCGGTCCACGCAGGGCGGATAATCTGTTGAATGAAAGCAACGAGTGAAAACGCCGCGGGTGGGCTCATTCCCTGTTGGTACCGTTCCGACTGGTTGCGAAGGTATCATCTGAGGATATTTATCCCAACAGGGAGGTAATGAAGAGGAAGTAAATACTTTTCAGTGGATTCAACGCTGGGAGATCCTAGCTAGTTCCCCTAGGGGCCCAAAAGCTACACCTACTGAGCCTGTGCTCGACATTCAATGGTTAGCACTTACCGGAGCAGAGGATTTTGACGACGACGCCACAGCGTATTTCGGCGTCGAAGGGCGAGGCTCTGCATTCCGATTAAATCTGCTCGCGTCATCCTCAGCTTCTCCAGCATCATCCGCGTGGCCTTCGGAGTCCTGCGCTTCGCTTATCTGAAACAGGACAGGTATATTCGAACAGCTGAAGTTGTGGTATGTCGCAAACTGAAGTACGATATCAATCGGAACATTGCCCTTATACGCCGCCGCCCTCCAGTCAATCGAACTCACGCAATGACATAACGGCCTGTAAGAATTTATCTGCGCCTTTTTCACTGCTAGGCTAAAGCTCGTTTCATGCAATTTCGATGGAAAGTGACTCATAAAACGTGAATGGAAAGAGAATCCGCAAGCAGTTGGGACAAGTGACGCGACTTATTATTTCTTCCCGCCCCGCCCCTTCCTCATTTCCCAGCCCATAGCCCATCCCACACCTACCGCACTGTATTCTGCGTTGTTTCCGATCCAGGAGCCCCATTTGGAGGCAAGGCGTGCCATTGCCATGGGGAACATGTTCATCCACAAGCCCCTCGCCACTGCAGGTGCCACCCCTTACCACGAGTATTGGGAGGGGGGCGGTTGCCGTATTTCATTTCAAACGTGGTTCTCACCTGCTTGCGGAACATCGCGGATCATTGTCGTTTGGGACAACTGCTAATCACTGCTTGTCCAGCCAAGCGAGATGGACAGGTCGTTTTCCATTAAAATATCTCATACTCACGAAACAACTCATCCTACGCCATGGTCACTCAGGGAACGCAGCCACGCCCTCCACAACTCTGGGATATGGAATCTAGCCTCCGACTATGGATGACAGCACTTATGACTTACATCCAGCTCCTCCGAGTGCTCGCTATCCTCAGGCTCCATCGTCGGATCCATCGGTACATCATGACCGAATTCTTCCACTTCAGGCACGACGTCTGTCATCAAACAGCGTTTTCACCTGTAAAAAACTCTTTTGATCTACCCTTCCAATCTACCGTTTGCGGCTGACGCACATTTACAGAACCTTACCACCTGGCGACGTTGCAATGGCAAAAATAGGGCGCTGGGACGCTTTTCGGTTGCCCTGGACCATTGCCACGTCGCCAGGTAACACGATTCTGCAAGAATATCACGATCGATCGGAGCAATTTTGGCCCAGATAGCAGCGATGACCCAGTTTCCCTGGAAATGTCCTCAATCTGAGGCTACTGTCGATGTCTACACGATGCTGTGTGGTAGACCTACTAAAAGAACCCATTAAAGTATACTGTAGACGTGGCGATACGGTAAGAGTTCACGACCTACAGCTATACGGTAAAGCGGAAAAAATATCGATATGACGACGCGTTATGCGAAGTGGTGGCGAGCGTGTGCGTCAAGCAATCGGCGCGGTGGTCATACCAGTTTTTTAGGCGTTCAGTGGTGGATCGCCAAGGGGTTTCTGTGTCAACATCGACGTGGTGAACATGGTCAGTGGGGGTTTGCTGATGTGAAGGCTGAATCAGAATTGGCCTATGAAGACGTTGATGGAGTTGAAGACGTCATGGAATGGCGATGAAAGGCGAAGATAACGGCCGAGGCTGACAGCGGCGTCAACGGGAACGCACGTACACATACACAGACGCATACACACACTCGCACCAGACGCACACAAGCACACACTCGCTCGGCCACCAACAGCCAGCCAGCCACACGCGATGCGATCGATCGCCGCCCAGTTGCGGCTGAACACAGCGCCACGGTTTTAGAAGACGTTCACGTACTTTCCTGGAGTGGATTACAACAGATACTCGGGTGGGCGAAGCGGTTGCCAGGGAGTTGACGCGCTATTGGTGATTGCTAGCGAGTGGAATTGGCCTGTAAAAGGCAGGCCGCGATTATCCCTTCACAGGGTCACACAAAAGCGCTTGAGTGCTATTGAACTGTTCTCGAACACGACCACCAACACTTGCAAACATAACCATTAGGTAAAGATTGTCCCCGATGCACTTATGACAAGGAGAAGTCACTTGAGGGAAGCGCTCAGCCCTTAGCCGGTGACCATTCCAAAGCAAGGGATTAGGGCGCTAATCCCGCTGTTGACCCAGGAGTCGTTAAGGTTCCCTCGGCTGTCGTTCCTAGCTTTTGATAACGTCTAAGTGACTCTCCAATCAGTTGAAGAATCGGGGTGTAATTCCGGCAATAGCGATGAATCAGAAGTCGATGCAGTTCGGCTTGGGGGGATACATATCGTTATCATCATTATTGCTTTCCATCGTTTGCCTTCATCTTGGAAACACTACCATCCCGGAAAGGCAACCCCGGTGCACCTGAGGTAAACTAGCGTCACCTGAATCTCTAGAGATTCAGCCCTTTGCCAGTGGGAATTCCAAGGCTAGGGATTAGGACCCTAATTCGGCTTTTGACTCAAGACTTAAGGTTCCCTAGGCTGTAGAGTTGCTAACGTCTAAGGAGGTCTGCAATCACCAGAAGAATTGTGGTGTTATTCCGGCAATAGCGACGAATCATAAGACAGCTCAGAACAGATTGGGGGAGGGGGGGGGAACTTAGGGGCACTCAGCGCGTTCGGTACTTCCCATCGTATTCATTGTTTTCCAAGAGTTCACACGTGGCCTTCACAAACACTGACTGGTATCACTTCATTCCTCTATCAGGTTTCAATCAGGGCACTTGCGACCCCCTCCCTCCAGCGACCAAATACTGCCCCTCTTCGCTAGGGATTGCCTAGTGTACAATGTGCTCCTGTTCACAAATCCTTAGCTGATGGCTGACACGAATAGGAAGTAGCGAGAGTGCAAAATGCCCCCTGCCCTCCCTCAAGCCGAACTGAGCCCATAAGCCTTAACTGTGAGATAATCCGAACTAAGGCTGGATCGCAAGGCAGCTCACTCCGGTATTTCTTTAGTTGCTCTACTTATGGAGCAATCATTGCGGGTACAAATGAAGCTATGGTTCTCGGAATCTCTTCTCAGAATAACAAAGCAGGAACTGAGAAAGACGTCTGGCACGCTGGGACGCTCATATTCACATGACATGTGCGGCTACTTCCAATTGTTGCAAGCATTTTAGGACACAAGGTACGATAGAAAGAGCACTGGCACCTCTCTGAGGGTAAAAGTACCAGAAGGTGGGTACAGTTTAGTGTTGATAGTGTCGCTTATCAACCACAGAAGCAAGGATCAAATTTCAGATCGAGTGCCGCGGGCGCTAACTAAGCGTACCATCACAATTTGGCTAGTTAGTTGATACAAGAGTGGCTTGGGAAAATTGTATGTCAGCTGGTTTCCGTTACTGCATTCAGAATGCCTTCGCGATTCTACATGGAATTGGAGAGCGTGGCGCAACCCAAAAGGGGATTATCAACGCCAGAAGCTCTTATCCTTGTAAAGTGCCACAAAAGTGCAACGCGTGCATCATTTCTTTCGAGCTGCACAAAGCAAACGACTGTAAGAAAAGGATACGTGAGCGGAGTTAGTCAAAGATTCTCAGGCTGCGCCATGTATTCGATTTCCCTATCAAATCGCGG